TGCTGTTGGCTTCCTCAAAAGCAAGTGATTTGAGAGCCACAAAAACAAGTTTAAAAAATGTGTTTGTTGTTTTTTTTAACCGAACATTGGAAGTGGCATACAATCACTTCTGCCATAGTTTATTAGTCATTTATGTTAACCAGGTGGCAGAGATTGAACTGAGTTAATTGGACAAATATATGATTGACATTCTACAAAGCGCTTTACTTACAGGATTTCATGTAATCCTATCACAGCCCATGGGTCATTGTCCCTATTTTAAAGATAATAAAACCAGGGCTTATGCAAATAAACCGATCTCCCCAATATTAAAAGTTACTAGGTGGTAGATTCAGAGTTCAGAACTAGATCTTTCTAGCCCCACAGGTGGTTAAAAATGGTTCACGGTAAAAATAAATGTAAGAATTGCACTTCTCAAAAAGAAATAGATGTAGATAGTCTTCTAAATGATCTTTACATTGTCAAGTTCATTTGTAATATGGGAAAATAAATTAGAGAGCATATAAACAGGGAAACTCTAAAATTCTTCAGGAAGAAAAAAATTCTTCAGAAAGATAAAGAGCGAATTGATTTTTATGAGATAACTTTATATCAAGAAGTAATTGTGTATCAATAAAACATCCCAGCCCAGTTCAGATCAAGTCCATGAGTTCGATATTAGTCTATGAATTCCTCGCCAGATTCACTCAGCACATGCAATGATGCTGAATGCAGGAAGATCACAGGCTTGTTGGGTGGCAAGTCCTGTGAATCCAATGGCAGTGGATGCATCTCTAGGGCTCTGGCTGCCATCAGTGTGGCTTCCTGTGGCTTGTCAACAGGAATGTAAAGCAGAGATAGAGAGAGAGCATGAGAGAGCTCTTTTGATGGTAGAATCAAGAGAGGAGGTTCCCAGAAGTCTCATGAGAAGGCCATGCCCACAGGAGACATCATCAGGCTATAACTGATTGACAGGCTAGACTCCATCCCTTCATTCTTTATCAAGTTGACATGAAATTGTGTTAACTACCACAACACCCACCACCTGCCTAGTTCATTACTCCCTAGCCCTATCCCCTTTGGCAAACTCCAAAATCTGTTCCCTTTGGTTTTATCTATATGAGTATATACACATACACACATCTATGCATACTTATGTACATGTGTCTATATATCTTCATCTTGTATAATATATATTTTCTACTTATAACAGTGGTCTTATATAATATCTGTCCTTTGGTGATTGGCTAATTTAACTCAATATAGGGATCTCTATGTCCATCTATTCTTTGAAAACCAGGACAGTCAAGAATTCTGTCACTGACTGGCAATACAGCCAATGCAGCAAAACTGTACTGAACATTCAGTGTACATGTGGCACTGTGCTGCTTGCTGGATCTGCAAAGCAAGTAAGAAAGTCTCCGCTATCCAAGAAGTCATTTGGTGTTTCTACTTCCAGAGAGTTATTTCCACTCACAGAGACCGCCCCTTTGGGCTTCCAAGGCTGTACATTGTTGCAGAAGCAGAGAGCCTCATCTTTCTTCTGCAGAGCAGCGGGCAGGTTCACACTGCAACTCAATGTTTAATCTACTATGTCATCAGGGCTCTAATTTGGCCTTAAGGCCGTACAAAAATAATCATAATCTGGCATAAGCAACATATAGAGGCATCCATCAAGGGCTTATCAAAGCCAGAAGGTTATAAAGATGTAGCCACATCTTCAAAATACATTTTGGGGTTATTAAAACAGTCTTGAGCCCTGGTGGCATAGTGAGCTATGCTAAAAGGTTGGTGGTTCAAACCCACAAGCCACTCTGGGAGAAAGAGAAAGCCTGCTCTGGGAAATATTTACAGCCTCTGAAAGACTTGGGAGCGTTCTACTCTGTCAGATTGGGTCATTATGAGTCAGATTCGACTCCATGAAAGCAGTTTTTTCTTTTTTTTTAAATTTAAATGATATGGTCGATAATCTCTGCAAGTTAACAAGACGACGTTCAGGGAGTCGGGCATTCTTTATTTCTGAAAAGCAGTTGGAAAGCTTTCAAAGACAGTGAGTTACACCAGACATTCATGCCTTTCCACTAAGGGCGGCACCAAATGGGCTGTATATGTTAATGGAATGCAAGATGAAGGCAGCAAAGCTGACTGAAGGTCCAGGTAGCCTTTGTAGAGACTGTAGGAATCAAACCAGGACAAAGACCGAGGGAGGAACAATAGGAATTTAGATACTGACTGGAATGCTTTGAAGCCAGCAGGCAAGGCTTGAAATGAAAAGGGCCCCTCTCCGGGGCAGAGAAAGGCTCTCTCCTCGGAGCTGAGATGTCTCCTGCCCCACTCCTCGCCGCCGCTCCCCAGTGAAACCCATCCGTCCACTGCACAGTTTAAACTGAGTGAGCAGACGAGGCCGCCTTAGGTTCTAACCCACGGGCAGTCTTCTCTTCCCCTATGAGCCCGGCTCCGCTGCGCTGGCCTGGCAGACTGGTCGCAAAACCTAGTTTCAGACCGAAATGTGTGTTGATCACTGAGCATGCTCGGCTTTCAATCTCTGGCGGAATTGTGGACTCCGGGACTCCAGATTTTAGCTATGGCAGCTCAAGGGCAGGATTCGGATCGGGGAACCAGGCTGATGCCGCAGGTGGGGCCAGGAGTTTGAGTCAAGTTGACGGGGAACCAGGCTGATGCCGCAGGTGGGGCCAGGAGTTTGAGTCAAGTTGACGGGGAAAGTTTTGTGATGGAGTCAGGGGAGACGCTGAGAGAACAATCCTATGATATGATTGGCCCTGAGCTGGGCAGCCCTCCTTTGTGCAGAGCACTTTTTTATTCGGGGACAGGAGTGTGGTACCAACACTTGGGTGAGATGAGGGACAATTCTGGGCTCGGGCACGGTTCAGTGGGAAGAGTGGTATTGGAGGTGATGGTGAGGATGGCGAGGGACTATGCTCGTTATTTCCCAATAGCGAGCCCCTGGCGATTCCGCCTTGGCCTGCAGTCTACCCTTTGTCGGACCTGTGTTGGTGCAGAAGGTCAAGGGAGAAGCAGAAGCAGGGTGCTCACCCGGCCACTTCCCGGGGACTTCCTTCAAGGCCCGCCCCTCCGCCCCTGCCAGTGCCCCAGCGCACGTAGGTGGCCGGGCCCCCATCTGGGAGGCTGGGGAAGGGTTCAGCTCACCGGTGTCCGCTCGCGTCTGTCTGCGCTTGGCCCGTTCCCGGATGCGCTCACATCCAAGACTCTCGCAGACCGTGAGGCTCACTTTGGGCGGTGCGGAGCGGGGCACCGCTTACTTATTACTAAGCATACAAACAATGGTGACCGAAGGCGGGTCTCAGGTCCCCCAAGCCGCAGCTGGTGTCTCTGCCCAGAGCGCGGGGCCGGGGTCTCCCCGCACACCCCCCGGGCTGCTGTGGGCAGCGAGCGTGCACATGGCCCGGGAACAGCAGCAGGGGCAGCGCAGACACCGCCGCACCGGACTCCCTCAACTCCCGATGCCGGGGTGCGCGCGAGGCACAGGGGGGCGGTCCTGCCTGACCCCGGAAGAGAAAGCAGTTTGGGGTGGGGGGGGGAGAATGAAGGAAAAAAAAAGGGGTGGGGGTGGGGAACGGTGAGATGTAGTAAAGATAAAAATCCAAGTTGTTCGGATCCCCGAAGACGGTCCCTCTGCCTCGCTTCATCTTTGCCGCGTCGCCCCTGGCTTCTCCATCTTGGTTTTCTCCCTGACGCCTAGGGGTTCGCGGGTCCCAGCGAGAATGCGGCGGCTGCGAGCCCCGGGCGCGCGACTCGCCCGACCTTCTCTGGATCCAGGTCGTCGGGAAAACCCGGAGCGGAGCATCCCCGCCTCCCGCCCCGCACGCCGGGAACCGCCC